TTTTGATTTACAGTCCTTCAAATGTCTGATAAATAGGAAAATATAATAGAAAAGCTAGCTAGAATGTCTGTCATACTAGGACCACTGTTCAATAGCCGTGACCTTTATAAATTTGATCACAAAATTGTCATCAGGCTAATTGTAGCACTTGTTGACCATGGTTTTGAGGAAAGTCCACCTAATATTATAGCCAATCTCAGAAAGGAAGCTTGGACGTTTTCTGGGTATCCTGCAAAGTTTAGAAATTAGCCACATTGTCATTGTAGTCACCAAGTCCAATACAATAAAATGCCTTTATTTTGTTTATTTGTTTTCATGGGGTCCGAGGCTTGAACCCAGTGCCTCACACATGCAAAGCAAACCTAGGTCTTCTACAAACAGCTTTTGCACAGGCATGTGACCAATAGGAGGTGGCCGCTGACCTTTGCAAAAGCTGTTGGAGAAGACTGTGACCTTGAGAAGAAGGTCCTCTGCCAGACTGGTTATGTGTAAAAGATATTTTTCCTATTATAACCATTGTTTTGTGTATGCCTTTTATTCCTCAATCTGTATATACAGTTGACAAAGCTAAGTACTTTTTGACTGGGCACCTGAAATAGAAGCTAGCCCTAGATGTTCTAAAGTGCTTGATGTATGTTAAAAGTAGAAGTGGCAAAATATAATGCATTTTATAAAATTCCTTTGTTAAAATTCTTATGAAATGTTTTGGGGGGCAATAGCCAAACCCCTGTTGGGTAATACACGTGGCAGGCTGGTTCTCCAGAGCATCATGCCAGTGTGCTTAATGAAGCAAGAGTATCCTTATGTCTGTGCATTTTGTTCTACTTTGCTGTGTACATACTGTATTTAAAGGGCAAATAAGTCCTAATCAATATCTAGTCTTTCTAGATGTTAAAGTGCTTGGCAATGTGTGACAAAAGTAGAATTAGTGAACAAATGTTGTATGTTTCTATGTTAAAATTTTTAGGAAAGAATGTCATCGGATAAGGATTAGTGAAGGGTGCTCCTATTTTGAAGACATCTTCAAGGTAGAACTATTGTTTCGTATGTGTAGTTTATGCAACACTGTCCTGTACATAGTGGACACGTTGAGTCCTTACCTGAAATATCTAGTCTGTCTAGGTATTTTAGAGGTCCCAATGTATGTGAAATGTAGAGTTAGTAAAATATCATTTTGTAAATATCTTTTTGCCAAAATTCATATGGAATATAGTCTTTTGGAAATGGAGCTGTTAAGCCACCTCTGTGAGCAGTATAGTACCGTCTATCCTTGTTCAGTGATGTGGAGGAGGTGAGAGGGAAGCGAGTGCAAACGATAATATGTTAGTGTGTTTATACCTGGACATTTTCAGGCATCAGTTTCCTGTATGTATGGTGCATTTTGTTTTGCTGTGTATGTAGTGTATATAATGGGCAAATGAGTCCCAATTTTGCAACATTTAGTTTTAGATATTAAAGAGGTCTCCAGTGCATGAAGAAGTAGTAAAATTAGCATGTTTGTTACATTTTGTGTTTAAATTCATGGGAAAACTTGACTTCAGTAAATGACTGCTGGATATGATTTGTTCAACCATCTCTAAGCATTACATATGCATGTACTTGTCCACTGAACTGGGAGTAGACAGAAAAAAGGAAGGAGGGAAAGGGTCAGGAACGATATGGTCATACTAGAAGATACATCAAATTATAACCATTACTACGTGTGCAATTTATTTACACTGATGTGTGCGTAGTGGACACATTCTTATGTGGAAAATCTAATCCTTCTATATCTTTAATAGTGCTTGATATGTTTTAAAGTAGAAGTTAAAATAAAACTTTTTGTAAATAGCTTTTTAAAAAATATATATTTTTTAAGTTTTAGATGGACATGTTACCTTTATTTTGATTATTTATCTTTATGTGGTGCTGAGGATCAAACCCAGGGCCTCACGCTTGCTAGACAAGCACTCTTCCACTGAACTACAATCCCAGCCTGGTAAATAGCTTTTAAAAACTAGTAGGAAATACTGTGTTTGGAATTCTTAAACCACCTCTGAATGGTATCTTGTCAGTACTTGTTCACTGGGTTGAGGGAGGTGGGAGGGAAGAAGTTACAAAAGGTTTTTTGTTAGCTTGTACTTAAAAATCCCAGTTTACCACTGCCCTATAACGTGCATTTCATTTAACTTTGCTGTACTGAATATATTATATATGTACTGAATAAAGGAGTCCTAGCTTTATAATATCTAGTCTCTGGCTATGCAGAGGTTGCCAATGTGTCACAAAAGTAGAGTTAGTAAGCTAATACATTTTGTATACTTTGTGTTAAAATTCATAGAAAGCAAGTCCTCTGAAAAGAACTTTAGGAAGTGAAATTGTAACATTACATCTGAGTGACACTTGTGCCTCTGTCACTTGTGACATAGGAGAGAAGAAATGAAAGAAAGAAAGATTCTAGGCCAGCATGATCTTATTTAGATGCTTTTAGATATAAATATTGCTACCTGTCTATCATTTATTCAACAACACTACTGTGTACATTGTGAATAAATATAAGTCCTCATTTGAAACATCTGGTTTTTCTAGATGTTTAGAAGTGCACAAAGTATGTTAAAAGCAGAGATAGTAAATAAAACATATTATAGATTAAAAGAAAAAGAAAAGTAGATTCTAGGGATAGAATTTGGGGAATTCTTTTATTTATAAAGTGCAGGGAAAATAAGAAGCCAATAATTAGGGACAAGGATTGACCAGAAAGGTAGAAACAAGGGGACAGTATATTATTACAGAAGGAAAAAGGGAAGAACATTTCTGGAAGAGGTTGGCCAGCAGAGGAAAGTCAAATGCCATAGAAAGTGTTGGTACTGTTAGGGAGAGCTTTTGAAACTGAGGAACAGAATGCTTGTGTCTGATAAAGCAAGCAGGCGGCAGCTAGAAGTTTTATTTGTAAAATAATATGGCGCACAGTTATATGTTAACTTATGGAAACTTCTCTCTCATCCTCCCAACAGCCCTGAAACCAGTGGATCTACATTCCATATATCAGGTGGGGCCCCTGATGGCCGTGGAGACCACTAGGGGCATAGTGCTGCACTGGCGAGCCCACAGCTGGCCCCTGCGCTCCCAACGCACACCAGTGGCCTCCCTACACTCTGTGGCCAAGGAGCTGGAGGGCCTGGCCGGGGGCCCCCACACCGTGGTGGTGCTGGGTCTGGGAGCCCACTTCACCACCTTTCCTCCATCCATCTTTGCAAGACGACTGGCAGGGATTCGAGCAGCTGTGATGGCCCTGCTGGAGCGGGAACCCAGTACCCTTGTGGTCATCAAACTGGCCAACACTGGCTATAAGTCTGTGTATGGCAGTGACTGGTTCACTCTGCACATGAACCGGCTCCTGAGAGCTGCCTTTGCTGGACTCCGTGTGGCCTTTGTGGACGCTTGGGAAATGACCTCTAGCCTGGCCCTGCCCGACAACATCCACCCAAGGAAGCTCATTGTAAGCAATGAAGTGAACTTGCTCCTCTCCTTCATCTGTCCTACCTGAGAGCTACTGAGGGTCCTGGCAGTGTGCTGATGGAGAGCCTGCAGCTCAGCCACAGGAAGTGTGAGAAGCAGTGAAGGGACCCAGAATGAGGAACGATTCAGAGGACATTAGTTACTCCAAGAATGGCCACATGCATTAAAAACTGGTGACATTTTGGTGACTGTCCTCTCATACAGTTCTCTGTGCAATGCACAAATAAATGCGCATTACATGAATGAGATGATATTTCACATGCTCTCTTTTCAGTTTCCTTTTTTGGAAATTTTTATTGATTTAATTGTACATTATGCAGTTTTGTAAGGGGTAATACAGAGATCCCTTATATCCTGTACTTAGTTTCTACCAATGTAACCATCTTGTCAAATGGGGTACATTTTTGGGATATTAACATTAATATCAACATTCTTATTTAGATTTTCTCAGTATTATTGTCCTCAATTGTGTGTGTGTGTGTCTTGTTTTTGTTTTTTTGTTTTTTGCAGTGCTGGGGATTGACTTCAGGGCCTCGTGCATGCTGGGCAAGTGCTCCACCACTGAGGCTCTATCTCTAGCTCCTATTGCATTCATTTGTATGTATTTATTTTATGCAACGTTATCACATATACTGGTTTCTGGTTAATTCTTTAACATTTGTTTTGTAGCCTTACAAAGGAAAGATGACAGAGCCCAAGGTTTGTCCAAAATGGCAATCAGGAGAGTCTCCAAAAAACTGGGGTCTCAAAGGACTTTATCCTTAGACTGATGTGATTCAACAAGAAATCCCCAGGACCAAAGAGCACAAAGAAGAGAATCATTACAAAATTTGGTAAGTGGAAGGGTAGGGGAAGTGCCCACTAAGAACTGATGGCCATACACTGTCTTCACTCTGGTTTCTAGCCTGACATGACACTATATGGGCGGCTCAAAAATTCTCTAGGGATATAGCTCAGTTGGTAGAGTGCTTGCCTTGCATGCACAAGGCCCTGTTCAATCCCCTGCTACACACACACACACACACACACACACACACACACACACACACACTTCTCTAGGACCAGGTTGTGTGCCTAGCCTCATATACTTCCAGATCACCTGACCACATCAATTGTGATTTCTGGAGAAACTGACATTTTTCTCAGATCGCAGAAAATTTTCTGCAGAGAACATAAGAAGGAAAAAGTGCTGCAGACATTCAGAAATTATGTAACACACCAGTAACAACATAGCAAGAGTGAGAAACAGCAGAAAAAGGTTAGAAGAACCCAAACACAAAAAGCCCAGATAGTAGATCAATTGGAAAAGCATATGAAATTAGTATCTTTAAACATACTGACTTAATCAAAAAGAGGTTTTTACCAATATAAGTAAAAAAGATAGTTTTTTTATAGAACTCTTAAAATAAAAACTAGAATAATTATAATAAAAATGAAGAGCATATTTAAAGGCAGGCTGGACAGAGGCAGAGAAAGAATTAGTAAATTGGGAGCAAGAATGTAAGAAAATTTTCAGTTTCATCCAAGAAAGGAAAAACATGGATGGAAAATGTGAAATAGATGTTAGATGTGATAGAAATCCAAAGGGATCAATTGAGGTTGAGGGCAGACAGAGAGGGAGAGAGTGAGAGGGAGACACAGAGAGACAGAGAGAAAGGGGGTTGGGGAGAGAGAGACAGAGATTGATTTATTCTTCTTATTATAACATCAACATCAGTCCTACTGGATTAGGGCCCCATCCATACAACCTCATGGAGTGAATTCTTAGAACTGTATGCTTCCTTGGCATCCATGTTGAATATAAGTAAAGCTTTCTCATACCAGAAGCGGTGCTTAGTTACCCTCGACACACTTTCCAGTTTTCCACCTCCTCCCAGTTCTACACTGTGGTTCATCCAGATATCTGCTATCACCTTGTGGTGACACCTCCCTATGCCAACTATTTGATGCAAACTACTTGTTTGATCCCATACCTCCCATTTCCTGCAGTGACTACCTCCTAGTCACAGTGTCACACCCCGCTCTGTAACTTGTGCCTTCTTGCTCCTAAGCCACTAGTTACAATTATTCATGGGAAATTTCCCTGGGTAATGCCCTGGACAACAAAGAAGGCTTCAGTCCACAGGTCCCTTGCTTTCTGTCTCTTAACCTGCTGGGTGCGCCTGCTCATCCCTGATGGCTCCCTCTTTTTCCCAATGGCCTGTGAGGTGTGCTTGCCTCTTGTCTCCAGGATCTGGGACCCGATATAGCACCTCTTTTGTTGAGTTGCCTCCTGTGTCTCACCTGACTGACACATCCAAATCTAACTTCTTCACCAGTCTGGGTTCTCTTGGAGAGTGGCTGTCTTGGCAGGAATAGATTGGACTCAGGTCAGACAAGAGCCTCATGGACATCTGTCAGGATAAAGAAGTTTTCTGTGGGAAAGGCACCTGCTCCCATGTTGGACACTTAGGTATTAGGCCATCGGCTAGGATGAAGTATCCATTGACAGGAACACATAAAGGCTCACTACTGCCAAATGCCCCAGAGCTCCATCAGGGCCAGGTTAGAGTCTATAGCAACTGTCCAGGGAGGGACCTCAAGACCAACATGAAGGACTGAGCTTAGCACCTCACTTAACCTTCATTACCATAAAGATGCTATCTACAGACAGTCACGTT